GAAACAAACGAGAAAAAAGCGAGAAAAAAACGAGGAAAACGAAAAAAAAAACGAGAAAATACGACCAAGCACCCGTGAGACGCGCCATCCGCCCGGGAGACGCGCCATCCGCCCGTGAGACGCGCCATCCGTTCGTGAGATGCGCCGTCCGCCCGTGAGAAGCGCCGTCCGCCCGTGAGACGCGTCGTCCGCCTGTCTTTTTGCTCCTGCTCACAAGGCGTTGCAACCCTTCATGATACCACGGTAGAGGGAAACAAACGAGAAAAAAACAAGGAAAACAACGAGGAAAACGAAGCAAACGAAAAAAAAAACGAGAAAAAACGACCAAGCGCCAGCGAGACGCGCCGCCCGCCCACGAGTCGCGCTATCGGCCCGTGAAACGCGCCGTCCGCCCGCAAGACTCGTTGTCCGCCCGCGAAACGCGCTGTCCGGCCGCAAAACGCGCTGTCCGCCCGCGAAACGCGCTGTCCGCCCGCGAAACGCGCCGTCCGCCCGCTAAACGCGCCGTCCGCCTGCGAGAAATGCGTCCGTGCGCCGTGCGCCGCGATCAGGAACCTCTGCAGGAAGAAACCAACAGCATTAGCAACCGCCAATGAACGTAAACCTTCAACACGTAAGCCGCCAAGGCGGGAAACAGCAGGTAAGCGACGGTCGAACGAGCTGCTACCTCAACCGCAGCGAGGCGCAGCTGGTAAGCGACGGTCGAAGCGTCGCCAAGGGCCGCCGATGCCCCGTGCACGGTTAGGCGAGCCCGAAGAAGCGTCGCCCTTCGACCATACGTCGCCATGAGTCGCCACGTGTCGCCACGCGTCGCCATTCGTCGCCGCGCTTCGCCGCGCTTCGCAATGCTTCCACCATCCGTGAGTCGCGGTGCGTCGCCGGCGGACGGTCAGGTTCTCAAGAAGAGCCCGAAGAAGCGTCGCCCTTTGCCTTACGCCGCCACGCGTCACCATCCGTGATCCGCGGCCGGGCGTCAAGGTGCGTCGCTGGCAGACGGTCAGGTTCTGCAGTAAGAAGGAACACGAGAATCAGTAAAGGAGGAAGTATAGACACGAAACCGAAGCGTAACCAGCGTAACCGCCAATGCAAGTCGAAAAGCGAGGCGCTCAAGGTCACGTTACCTCAACCGCAGCGAGGCGCAGCTGGTAAGCGACGGTCGCAGCTGGTAAGCGACGGTCGCAGCTGGGAAGCGACGGTCGAAGCGTCGCCAAGGGCCTCCGATGCGCCGTGCACGGTTAGACGAGCCCGAAGAAGCATCTCCCTTCGACCATACGTCGCCGTGAGTCGCCACGCGTCGCCATGCATCGCCTCGCTTCGCCATGCGTCCACCACCCGTGAGTCGCGGTGCGTCGCCGGCGGACGGTCGGGTTCTGCAGGAAGAAAGAACACGAATCCGTCAAGAATCCAGAAAAGAGAGAAAGTAACACGAAACGAAGCGAAGCGCAACCGCCAATACAACCTCAAGGTCACGTTACCTCAACCGGAGCGAAGCGTCGCTGCGATCGTCGCTGCGATCGTCTCGGCGGATCGTCTCGGCGAATCGTCTCGGTGGATCGTCTCAGCGGATCGTTGCACTTGCGGCGGTCACTTGCGACGGTCGTCGTTTTCACGTCTGCAGGAGACGGCAAGAGATCAGTACTCGAAAATATAAGATACGAAGGTACACGTCTGCAGGAGACGGCAAGAGATCAGTACTCGAAAATATAAGATACGAAGGAAAATAATAGGCAAAATGATCTCATTGAAAACGGCTGAAAGGGACTGCGCTTACCTCTTCCTCTTGACAGGCTCCTCCTGGCTTGGCGGAGGTGACAGACTCTTCCGTCTTGGCGGAGCGGCAGCGACGGGAGAGGCCGTCAGGTGAAGACGGCAGCGACGGCAGAGGCCATCAGCTGAAGTCGGCAGCGACGGGAGAGGCCGTCAGGCGAAGACGGCAGCGACGGGAGAGGCCGTCCCGTCAGGTGAAGACGGCAGCAACGGGAGAGGCCGTCCCGTCAGGCGAAGACGGCAGCGACGGGAGAGACCGTCCCGTCAGGTGAAGACGGTAGCAACGGGAGAGGCCGTCCTGTCAGGTGAAGACGGTAGCAACGGGATAGGCCGTCCCGTCAGGTGAAGACGGCAGCAACGGGAGAGGCCGTCTTGGCAACTTGAGCAACTTCAAGAAGGCAAGATGTTCGCCGAGGTCTGAAATAAAAAAGACATATTAGTTAGTGAGAGCTAAACGTAGACAAGCGACGAGGAGAAGTGAAGTGAAATCAAAGTCCATTGGAGGTAATAGAGCCAGTGATTACGTACTTCAACCCATTGGCAACGGCCGGCGAGGCGACGGTCGGCAAACCAGTTGGCGACGACAGTTGGCGAGGCAACAACAGTTGACGACGCGACTCTGACCCATAAGGTCCGGCCTTTCAGGTTTTCTTAGCTCAAAGCGCAAACGGCGGAGGAACGCCTCTCATGACCCATCCGGAGATCTTGAATTGGGCTTGAACGCGACCCGTCCGAAGATATGGACTTGGGCTTGAATGCGACCCGACCGGAGATCGGACGATAACGACGCTCGAAGCTCCTTTCCTCGTCCGTCTTGACTTGGGTCTGGAAAGATAAGGCAACAAAATATTAGTACTTAGAGAAGAAGAACGAAACTTGGACAAGTGAGAAGAAGAACGAAAGTTAACTCAAAGCCAAGCTTGGAAACGCAATGATTCACAATGATACCGTGGCGACGGTCGAAGCGAGCCGTGCAGGATCCGTGACGACAGTTGGCGAGCCGTGCCGGATCTTGACAAGCGACGGGAGAGGCCGCTCCAGGAAGCATCTTGACTCAGCATGGCTTTCGGAAGTGGCGCCAGGGGACACTTGGGCTTCCGGCTTGGCTTGGGTTTTGAAGCGCCGTCCCGTGATTGAAGCGCCTACCGCGAGCTTGACTTAAGCTTCAGATCCTCCGAGATGAACAGCGGCAAGATGATCTGCAGGAAAGAAAGGAACAAGTTAGGAAACTTCTCAGAAAATCGTCAAACAGTGAAGGAACTGCAGAAAGAACTTGAACGATGTTGCACAATTCGGGATGTTGAGAAAAACTGCTCTTACCTTCACTCGACCGTCTTCAACTCGGGATGTGGTGAAGACTTGAATGGCAGCGGTTACGGGATTTCGCACCACCAGCGGTGACGGGATGTCGCACGACCGGCGGTTACGGGATTTCGCACGACCATCGGTGACGAGATGTCGCACGACCAGCGGTGAAGGGATGTCGCACGACTAGCGGTGACGGGATGGCGCATCACCAGCGGTGACGGGGATGTCGCACCACCAGCCTGAAGCTCTTTCCGCTTGAACCGCTTGAAGATCTTTCTGCTCTTGTGGAGATGATCTCGCGGAACGTAGATCTTGCAGTGGAGATTACTATCTTGTCGCGGTGATATGTTGCCGCGAGAATCCGTCAGCACACGGTTCGGCTCGAAACACTTGGCAGCTCGCTCCTCACGACACCTACCCAACCCACCCCAACCCCTAACTCAACGCCGCCTCGTGCTTCGAGCTTCACCGTGTACTTCAGGTAGCTTCAGGTGCTCATTACATTGGAGCTCTTTGACAATCCTTCCAAGAGTCTGAAATGAAAGGAAAAGAACGATACAAAGGCAACATTGCTAGATTATATGGAGCGGATGAAGCTCGAGAGAGGTGCAAGTGGAAGGTTGCTGCTGAAGCAGAAGGAAAAGCGTTGATCAGTGGATGAAATAATTCAGTGCAGCCATTCTGAACAGCGGCGCTCGCGGTTCGTCTTAGCGGCTCTTCACTTCAACCCAAAAGTGATAGGTGAATGCAGGTTGCAGTGATACGAAACAGCATTTACCTAGGTGCAGTGCGGTGGGACGGGGCGCGACGCTGGTGTGGTCTAAATGTGGGAGGGAATTCCTGGATCCTGACACCAGGCTGGCCGCGCGGTGCGAGTGCAGTGTGATTTGAATGGATGGATGGTGGTGGTGCAGCTGACCGAAACGGTGAAGAGGTGTGGTAGCTTGTGTCATCGGCCAATAAAATGCTGCGTCGAAATTGCGGCAGGGGACATTCGTCGGGCGGCGCGTGGGGAACATTTTGAGGTGGGCCCACCTTATCCAACCAGGCCAGCCCAGATTGTACAGTACATTCAATTTACACATTTGGGTTTGAAATTGCAGATTGGTTTGACTTGCTCGTATGCAAACGCGTTTGCCAAGGACGCGTATTTCGGGCTGGGGAAATTGTTCGGCGTGGTGTGGTGACGCGCAACAGCAAGGGCAGGCTCGAACTTCTAGGAGATGGTTGACGTGGCGCTTTTTTTAGTTGGGTCATGAGTTTTTATGTGCGAACGCGTGTGAGTGTTGCGTGAGGTGCGGGACGGCTTTCGTTTAGTTATTATGGGAAACGTGAGTGGCGCGGAAAAGTTCAGCTGACTCGCTAAAGCTGACTCGGGCAGCTGGAAATACAATGGTTGGATGAAATGAGATTCACGTGAGCCAATAGAAATGGACCAGGGCATTATCAACAATCCGAACCTCGAGTTGCCGAACCTGCCACACCTAACCCCCTCTCTCTCTCACCCGTCATTCTCCAGATGTAAATAGCTCGAGGGTTGACACACTATCAGTGGTAGTTTCGCCTCTCATCTTGTTAGATAGCTGTTTCTTGATTCTTGTCTTGTTTACCAGATCTTAGCGCGGTAGTCGACGTGGAGCGTAAGGGCATCGTGTTTCTTGTTGTGGCACACTCTAATCGTCGTTCTTAGTGTTCGTCGCTTCACGCGTTTGGTAGCGTGCTAGCAGAATCAGATCTGGATACCCGACATTTCAGTTGTCGCCCCACCGCGTTCGGTTGCACGCCTCCAGATCTGACGTTTTTCTCACTTGCGGATACCGGGCGGAGTAGTAACATTTGTCCGCGGACGATTTGGTCGCGTCACTTTTAACGCATTAGTAACGTTGCGCGTATCGTCGATTAGAGAGCGCGTCGACGGTAGCCGGATGGAAGACGTAAATAAGGAGGGCAGGAGGTGAGTGGCGGGGAGAAACGGGAGAATGGGCGGTGAATGTTTTTTTTGAGGACGGAGAGGATCCGCGAAAGATAACAGGTGAAACCGCCATTTTCCCCTAATTTTCCCCTTTTCCCTCCCCATTTCCCCGCTTCCCCTTCTCTCCCTCTTCACCCCATGACCTAGCCTAGTAACGTCATTCATCTCTCCGCTTCCCAGCTCTCTCCTCACCTTCCCCGCCCTCCCCTCACCTTCCCCGCTCTCCGCTCATCCTCCCGCCCTCCCCTCGTCTTCCCCGCTTTCCGCTCATCCTCCCCGCCCTCCCCTCATCTTCCCCGCTTTCCGCTCATCCTCGCCGCCCTCCCCTCATCTTTCCCGCTCTTCTCTCATCTTCTCCGCTCTCCCCTCATTCCCCCCTCTCTCCCTCTCCCCCTCAGCACCCCCTTCATATCATTGCCGCGCTCTCTTGTTCCTTCCTTCACGCCCACCCTCATCTCCCACCACTCACTCACCCCTCGTTCCCCCTCTTTCCCCCACCTTCCTGCTTCCCCTTTTTCCGACTCACTCTTCGTCTCCTCCCTTCACCCATACCTGAACTTCGTCCCTGCTCACGCCTTGTCTCCCTCCCATCCACCTCTTGACTCCCTCATCTTCTCGATCTCCCCCTCCCCTCCCCCCTCGCCTCCCCCTCCCCCTCTCCCCCCCCCCCCCCCCCCCCCCCCCATCACCCCCACCCCCCTCCCCCTCCCGACTCCCTCCCACCTCCCCACCCCCCCCTCCCCCTCCCCCCCCCCCCCCCCCATCACCCCCATCACCCTCATCACCCGATCACCTCTGACTCCCTCCCCCGATCCTCCCCCTCCCACCTCCCCCTCATCCCCCCCCATCACCATCATCTCCTGAACCCCCTCCCACGACCTATCCACCCCTCATCCCCCTTGGCCCTGACCTCTACTTTCCCCCCTTCATCCCTCATTGGTCCCCACCCATTTTAGTCCTCGTTCTCCTCCCATTTGACTGCTAAGCTGCCTGGTCTGGCAGGTGGTTGGCTTGGCTGTATGTGATGTGACTGCAGGTGATGTGACTGCAGGTGATGTGACTGTATGTGACGTGACTCCAAGTGATGTGACTACTGCATATGATGTGAATGTGATTGCATGTGATGTGACGGCTGCATGTGATGTGGTGTGACTGTTGCATATGATGTCGCTGTATGTGATCTGTTTGCATGTGATGTGACTGCTGCATGTGCTGTGGCTGCATGTGCTGGTAGCATGTGCTGTGACTGCTGCAGTCGAATAATTTTATTCCTTAACCCTTGCTGCACTTTCTGTACAGAAACAGCTCTCTGTGTTCCTGGTCTCGCTGACGCACGGCTGCATGTGATTGGCCAGCACCAGGCCCGCTGGTTTCTGCTATGTACAAGTTATGATTTATTTAACTTGTGTATCCTATGTAGTGTTTTGTAAAGCTTTTTTTGTATTGCCATGCTACAGCTATCAGCTAGCCTGCTATGCAATTCCGTCCTGTGGAGGACAGCATGAGCCAAAAGAGTTAGGGGGGGTCTCGCCTTGTGGGTATGTGCTGCATAGATTATTTTTGTTCTGAATATAGTACCAGCGGTTTGGATATTCATCCTTTTGCTCTGTGAAAAGCAGACGTCCTCAACAGCAGCTAAGCTAAAGAAGGTGCAGGTGTAGACCCATTGTTAAAAGACTGAAATAGAGGGCAGTTTCCAACTACAAGCGGTGGTAGAAAGAAACTCAAAGAGGCAAATTTGCCCGTCTGTGATCTCCTTTCCTGATCTAAAACGAAATGAGCCCCCCCCCAGGGATCCTCCTCACTCATGGGGAAGAGCAAACTTAACGAGAAAGAAGTTGTTCAAAGAGTGGGCCTGGCCTTGATCGCCTCGCCTGATGGTACCATCCGGCTTTTGAGGCGCCTCAAAAGTAGCCTTGATCGCGTCGCCTGGTCTTGATCGCGTCGCCTGGCCTTGATCGCGTCGCCTGGCCTTGATCACGTCGCCTGGCCTTGATCGCGTCGCCTGGCCTTGATCGCGTCGCCTGATGGTACCGTACCATCCGACCCCATCCCCTTCTCTTCCTCTTATTCCCGAGGCACCTCAAAACTAGAGGCCTGAAGGGAAGAAAGTTGGACTTCGAGGGAGCGGGTTTGACCGAGATTGCCTGATTGCACCGCCCCACCCACCCCTTGCCTGATTGCACCACCCCACCCACCCCATCGCCTGATTGCACCGCCCCTCGCCTGATTGCACCGCCCCACCCACCCCATCGCCTGATTGCACCGCCCCACCCACCCCATCGCCTGATGTACGAGTAGGTGTAGGCCCTTCGCTGTAAGAGCACAGAAGAGGAAGCTAGGAGAAGAAAGAACTTCAAAGGAGAGGGTTCAATCGTGATCACCTGATTGTACCTCCCCACCCCATCGCCTCCTCGTCCTCCTCCTCCTCTTCCTCCCCGTAACCCCTCCCCGTGTAAGACTGCTTGCGGGAACTTCAAAGGAGCGGGTTTGACCGTGATCGCCTGATTGTACCTCCCCACCCCATCGCCTCCCCTTATCGTAGGCGTAGGCCCCTTGCTTGAAGGGAGATAAGATCTTCAAATGAGCGGGTTTGACCGTGATCGCCTGATTGTACCTCCCCATCCCATCGCCTCCTCTTCCTCCTCATCTTCATCCTCCCTTCCCCCCCAACCTTCCACCCCTCCCCATCCCCCTCCTCTCCCCCTCGACTACCATCCCATCTATTTCCATATCCGATACCACTGATAATCCCTCATCAACATCCCCCCTCCCCTTCTCCTCCTCCCTCCTCCCCTCCATTTCCTCCCTCCTCCTCTTCCCTTCCTCCTTCCACTTCCACTTCTCCCTCCTCTCCCTCCATCCTCCCCCTTGTCCGCCCATCCGCCAGCGAGCGAGAGTGAGTGAGGGAGACGAGGGGGGGGAGTGTTGGGGGGGGAGGCGGAGGAGGAGGGGGAGAGGGGCGGGGAGGAGGCGTTGGGGGGGTAGGAGGTGGAGGGGCGGGTGGAGCGGGAGGGGGAGAGGCGGGGATCGTGTGTGACGATGTAATGAAGCAGGTCGGGATGGATTGTAGGCGGTGCTGATGGGTTCACATCCTCCTCTGTCAACCAAAAGTCCTGCACTTCTGAGTATTTCTGGTGGTGGGGAGAGAGAAGACGGGGAGGGGGAGGGGAAGGGGGGAGACGAGAGGGAAAAGGGCAGAATGAGGTGGGAAGAGGTGGAAAAAGGCGCTGATGGGTTTACATCCTCCTCTGTCAACCAGAAGTCCCCGCAATTCTGAGTACTTCTGGTGGTGAGGAGAACAGGGGCGGGAGAAAGTGGAGGGAGGGAGAGGGGAGTGGGAGGGGAGCGGAATGGAGAGGAAGGGATGAGGTGAGTGTGACAAGGTGAGTGCGATGTGGACATAAATGAGGTCATTGAGATACCAGAGGTGTGACAATAACGCAGGCAGGGATGTGACGATAACGCAGGCAGACATGTGACTATAGCGCACGCACTTTCATGAGCTGCAGGCGCATGCGCGTGGTGGTGACACCTGTCGCCATGGCATTGGCCGAGAGCACCGAGAAGTGTGTGAGTGCCTCCACTATCGCCCCCTTGCGCTGCTCCTCCTGCCATACGAGCATAGTCACAGCAAGTGCATAGCAAGAAAGAACGTGAGCAGCACAGTCTGAGCACATAATTGGATTGGATTGGATTGGCCGGCAACAAGGTGTGCGTCAGTGCCTCCCCTATCGCCCTCTTGCGCTGCTCCTCCTGCCATGCCAAGTGCATAGCAAGAATGACACACCGCAAGCAGCACACCGCAAGCAGCACAAGAGGAGCACAGCATTGGCTGGGAGCACCGCCAAATGCGTCAGGGCCTCCCCTATCGCCCCCTTGCGCTGCTCCTCCCGCCCTGGTGCATGCATACATGACACGAAAGGGACACACCTACACTGTCACACAGCAACCTGACGGAAAACAACCTGACGGAGCTACAGCAACCTGACGGAAGGACAGCAATCTAACGGAGGGACCGGCAACGCGGAACGAAACCAGAGCCAAATGAGACGAATAGGCTTGCCCTCGTATGTCATCATCGCTGCAGACAAAATTATGCCGCCCGACTCCTCGTCCGAGATTACGCAACTAGGGCAAGCTCACAATATACTGTGCCAGTTTTAGAAAAAAAGGGTGCAATTAGGAACGTCACATAGGGTTAGACTTGGGCCGCGAGGAAATATTGCGCCGACGGTGTTAGGGACGCGTCCCCTGAAGCGGCTCGGCCGAAGATCGGCCGATCCGCACCGACCGTCACTTCGAGCCTAGGCTCGGTAGAGATCGGTGCCCAGGGACCTGCGCAACTACGGCGCACCGATATACAGGTGACAGGCTCGGTAAGGCAGGTTCGGGGTTGAGGTACAGTACACCAAACCTGCGACAACAGCTAGGTTTGTCGCGAGTAAAAGTCGCACATGGAAATCCACTGTATGCGACGTCGTGCAGTAACAATGCGACGACGAGCGAAGGAGATCGATTTTGACTGTCACTCGTGGCGCGAAATTCCACACGCGCCAAGCAATCTCACGCTCGTATTGTGCACTTCGCTACATCGAATGGCGGCTTCCAGTAAGTGACAGGGTCGTGCAACTTTTGTTCACTGTACATTCGTAAACATTGACGATATTAGTTACCTTGTTGATTACGACACTACAGTTCTACACCCCACGCGCAAAAACGATCTTTCCAGACTGATCGATCCGCTTCAGGGGACGCGTCCTTATGTACACACAGAGGCTCTCTCCAGAACTAGGAAGCCGTCAGGAGTAGGTTTCCGGAAAATGCTCGGTCCAAAAGGTTTGGCACGGGGAATCGTGAGGGTGCATCAGGGCGGGTACTTTTCATTCTCATTTTTGCTTAATACCATTTCGACCATTCTAAAATATTTATACCGCTGTAAAACGTGAAACATCTCATTGAGCTGCATTGAAACGAACGAGAATGACCCGCCCTTGGCATAGCAGCAGCAGATGGCACGGTCACCGTATCCGTGGGTGGGGGATCATTGGGTGATGTCGCATCAAAGGATGTGAAGTCTTTTCCGCTCGGTTTATTTGATTTCGAATTCGGTTCCTTTGGTTTAGGTTCTTGGGTGTATTGTTCCTAGATTGTTCCGTGACCGGGCGTGACTGGAATTTGACTGCTACGTTTCAGCTCGGATATTCCATTCCCAATGCCGGAGATTCAATTTCATGCTTTCCGTCCGATCAACCTGGGGAATTCCGTCAGCCTGTCCGTCATACTCTATTCCGTGTGCATCATCGTCTGCGCGTTCCTTCCTCGCATTCCAGCAAGCACTCCTCCTTGATTATCTTAGTCCTGGTATAGAACCTGGGGAATTGCGTCCGGCTGTCTTGTCTTGTCATTCAATCTTCATACTTCCTTCTGTCTGGTGTATCATCCGCTGCGCGTTCCTTCCTCGCATTCCAGCAAGCACTCCTCGATAATCTTAGTCCTGATATAGAAGCACTTACGATAAAAATTACAAGTTGTCTGATAGTCCAGGCATTCATGGCTGCATACGAGCAAGCATGAGCAGCGGTGGTGCTGGCTAGTCTCTTCGTCTCTCCCGAAACCGTCCGATTGATGATCGTACGGATCGGAATCAGGAAATTCTGGAGCCTGACGTTTGTAGTCGTCATTCGGAGCGTAACAATTTTAGTTACAAATTGTAGCGAATCTTGTCACCAGTTGCGACCTCCTGTGTCTTCTCACGTCTCAGCATAACGGCCTGGTTTTGAGACTTCTCAGACCTTGAGGGTCTAGCTTCACCGTGAGTCTGCAGCCGTTCATTGCGGAGACACAGAGGCCTGTTTTTGAGGCGCCTATTAACGAACTTGAGGGTCTAGCTTCACCGCGAGTTTGTAGCCGTTCATTGCGGAGGCACAGAGCCATGGCTACACATCAATTCTCCGCTGCAGATCCCACTTCCCAGTGGCGACAGTTGAGACGTCTCATGAGACCATGACAGCGCAACAGTCTTCCGCTGGAACCGCCACTCCCCAGATCCTTCCGCCATTCCCTCAGATCCTTCCGCCAATCCAGCAGCGCCTTCCGCCACTCCTCCTGATCCTTCCGCCTCTTCCCCAGCGGCTTCCGCCACTCCCCCAGATGCTTCCGCCACTCCGTCAGCGCCTTCCGCCATCCCCCAGCACCTTCCGCGACTCCTCCAGATCCTTCCGCCACTCCCTCAGATCCTTTCCGCCACTCCCCCAGCGCCTTCCGCCAGTCCCCGAGCGCCGTCTGCTAGTCCTCCAGCGCCTGCTGCGCCGCCGTTGGCGGAGGCAGAGGGAGG